CCACAAAAGACTTCTATGTTTTGTTTATGTTATTGTTATTGAAAAAAATTCAGCCAAATTTGAAGCAGATGACTATTTGACTGACAAAATTTCTTGTTGAAGAAATACCGAGGCAAATGACAAATTTCACGATTAGGCTCTAAACGTTTTAAATTAAATCTAAACGATTTGAAAAAATGAACAAAATCATTTATTGGAGCATACTATTTAAATTTTAGCTACAAGAGCTAAGACTTGTCACAATAAGGCTCCAAGTTTGATATAAAATCAAGTCATAAAATACAATCAACCGGATTCCTGAAGCAAATTAATCAAATCTGTTTTTTCCGAAAAATTTTTTCAATTTTCATTCTTTATTCAATGACATAGAATACAAAAAAATATCGAATTATTAAATCTAAAATTCCAGTAATTTGTAGATCAGAACCAGTTAGTTTTGTGAAGTTCTTTTTTTAATCCTGTATTCCTGTATTACACTGAATAATAGCACAAAAGATCTTCCTTCCTCTTTAGAGATATATAAACTACGTTGCACTTTAAAACCAAATGCCTGGTTTAGACAGTGACTCATTATTTGATTTAAAGGGTCGAATTGAGGAGATATCGTTACAAAAAACAGCAGAAAGACAAACAATTTCTAGAAAACTTTTGACCTATGAACTGTTAAAGAGAACGAGACCATGAACAGAGTTGACTCATTTGCGCTCTAAGCTCACACGTTTTGCAAAATCAACACGTTTTCTTTCAAATGTACTGTCTAATTACGATGTTCAAATAAAATGAATTTCTTTCATTCCTCGTTATCAACATGTGCAATGAAAATATCTAAAAGAGTTTTTGAATTTGGCGCAAATACAATATCAAAAATTCCGTATTGTTTTTCTTCCCACGTTTCTCAGGGTGTGGTTTTAGAGAAAAAATCTCTTGAGCACCTCTTAAAATTCTTTGGTTTTTTTGTTCGTTCGATCTAATTGCATTCTTCCACGATTGTGAAGAATTTGACGTCCAATTTCCAGTTAAAACTGAAATTCCGTCGAGATATAGAAGTCAGTATTCCTTTGTACCGATCCGAAAACGGAAACTTTGGTAATGTTCGTGTACATCAATTGTTTATTAATAGAGGTGTTTCAATGTCTTTAATTTTTCCTCTTGCGATCCAATAATTAGTCCGCTATAGCGATAACAAATCAAACCTATATTCCTTCATCAGTAACAAAAATTCATTTAAACTGTTTCATGTAACGATAAAATTCATCTCCATGGGCGTTTTTGGAGCATTCCTAACCAGGCATTTGAGTTTCAAAGATATGGCTTCCAGAACAACAAGAGAACACTGGTATATTTTCTCCGAAAAAAACTAATCCGAAAAAGTGGTTGAGATTCAAACACAGCGTAAACTTGCTCGACTGATTTCAAAATTTAGTCAGAAAGTTGAAGCCAATGTCCTCTTGTAAACTGAAGCCAACCTCAGTTGATGCAACAAAGCAGTGAATACCAGTTTTAAGATGGCATTGTACTAGGAATTTGTGCTCTTTATTGAACGAGGTCGATTCCCTAAATAAATTTTGTCGAAAATTGAATGTGACTTATACTAATGTTGTTTTCAACTTTTCCTTAAGTTTCTTGTTGCCTTTTTGTACAAAAATAGAGAAAAAGAAAACAACGAAATTGTCGGCAAAGTAAATCGAAGTCGATCGTCCGCGTGAGTGAGGTTGGTCCTGTTGGTAAATTTTTTTTGTTGGTGGTAGTGACGTAACTTTCGTCAACTCGAGTAAAGTCATCGTTAGAGTCAAGTCTCAAGTCTGGTTCTTGAACAAGTTGGGAAATTTTTCTGCGATGTTTTTAGCAGCGTAGGACTTAAATAGCGATATTCGGGTTGAGTTCAGGAAGTTTCAATCAGTCTGTAAAGTTGGGTCTTTCTGTTTCGTTTGTTCGGTTGTGTTAATGTCATGAAATCAGTTGTTGGGTGTTATTTTTTTTTCTCACATTTGTTGACAGGAGTCTGTTCTAATTTACAGTAGTAAACCAGTCGGATTTACTTTGGAAAAGTTTTTCAAAATAATCAGTGCTGCATGTTGAAGATCTTGTATAGTCCAGTCAATGGTCTGGTTCGTTTGTCGATCACAAAAAGGCAAGACTAGTTTCAATTTTTAAGATTTGAATTGACGCGAACAGTGCCATCTAAACGAGATATCACATTTGAGTGCCATCAACTGAGGTATAATTGTGATACAGACTCTTAGGCAAAAAAAAATGAGCGATAATCCCACGTAATCATCAATTTAAGCTCCTTAGTTTTCTATAGTCGGGTTCATCACGGTTTCAAATTTTAAACTGTTACTTTTTTGAAGGCAATGCGAGATAAATTTACCTAAAATTGGGGCTAGTATCGGAAACATCATTTGATCGCTCATTATCTGCAGAACAATCCATACCACAACAAACTAATTCAAAAATGGTGGCTAAATGTAAACCACGAGAATCACCTACCAAATATTCTATCCATTTCCAAGTACAACTTGAACTAAATCTGATCATTGGTGAAGAAAAGTATTCTTACAAAAATAAGATGTTAAACAGCCACCATTTTTGCTACCAGTACTGATAATAAATAATTGCCATGTTCTTATCTTTGTGGTATCTTCAGTATATTCAATTATTCCATTGTCCACTTTGGATCTTTGACCTTTGTTTCTTTGTCGTCCCATCCTTCTGGCAGTTTTACTCTTTCTGAAAGTGAAAATTTGGAGATATGATCAAGAACTGCTTTATGCATTGAACCTACACCAACGTTAGAAAACAGATTTTACGACGACATGTTATCTAGAGGGCTATAAAATAAACATTTTGGGTAAATAGGTTTTCAATCCATGAGACCTCCAACTTCATAATGATGCCCTAACAAATATAACACTTTTGGCCAAGGGAAGTAATGTGATTTACTGCAATCATCGGTTTGACTTCTGCAGAGGCCTGCACCCTTACGTAAGCAAGCTACGAGCTGAAGAAGTCCACGTGTTGCCGACTCGTTTTACTAGCTGAGTAAGTCGTTACGACTTGTACAGCTCCGTGAAGGAGTTTAAGGCAATATTTTCTATAAAATTGCTCACCTCTTGCTATAGTTTCAAGAGACTGCTTTCGTTGCTCTTCTTTTCACTTCAAACGCCTTTTTCCTCCAGAGTGCAAATTATTCTTCAGCAGTAAGGTACGGAACGTCTTCACTCTTCGGCGGACAGCATGGTTTGCTGAAAATTCTACAATTCCTAATGAATATGGATCGCGATTTTCAGCCAATCATAGGCTGTTATCTCACAGATCTCACCCATATTTTTATTTGCACGCTCAGCCACCTAATCAAGAATAAAAGTATTGTGTGTGACGGATTTGCGTGCTAAAGGCGAACAAAAATTAATGGAACGTAATTGCATTAAGCAATCTGCTCTACAACCAGGAAAAAAACTTTAGCCGTACGATCAGAGTAGAAGATTCAGATTTTAACCGTAAGAAAAGGTCCCTCTGTCGGCTTTGTGAGATTTGAATGGTTGAAACTTTCATGTAAGACTATTAAGTCTTAGTAAAATAGAAAAATAGCGTACATTCGCAAAATGTTGCAGTTCAAAACAAGTGAATATAACGCAAAGTAAAGAGACGCATGATTATTCTCTTATGAAGGGGTTGTAACGTAAAATTTTAAAAGAACCCGAAATAAAAAAAAAAGCTTGGCCTTGTAGGACAATTATAATTGTCCTACAGTCCCTCGAATGATCAAAAGTTAAAACTACCGAATCTGTAAAAACTTACTGATGATCACAGGATCATTCAAGTTTGTTTTTGTAAGAATTACCGCCTATTTTAATTACATTCTACACAGTACATTTACCAGTTCCCCATAGTGTTCATAGTATCATACTCTGTTTGAATCCTTTGTTATTAATAAGAGATGGGCACATCACTCCGGTCGAACTGAGAGTCGACGCTTAGCAACGAATTGTTTTAGCGGCATTTGGTCTCAACGATTCCAAAACGAAGTGTAACCAGGAAGGAAAAGAAAAAAAAGTTCTTAGCGACGTGTGGCCAAATACCTGCAGACTGGTGTAGAGCCCCACCCGAGGATGAGGGGTGGGGATGGGCGGGTCGTGATTTGCCTTCTCTCGGTCAAACTAGGAAAAGACGCTTTACTGATGTCACAAACATATTTAACTTCTCAGGAATCAATACAGAAGTGAGACATCTGCAGGGCGTTACGTCGGTAACACTGAATGTATTTGGGATATCAAATACATCGAATTCAAATTCAAATCACTTTGTATCGTGTCACTTTTGATTCTTTCAAATGTATACAGCCTCGTCCTAGGGGTGGGATGTGGGGGCATGGGTCTAGTTTCTACCTCGATTAATCGTCATTTTTCAACATGATGTCATCTTTTTTCGTCAGGTTTTTCCCAGCCAACGCCTTGGCCGCATTGGTCCTGCTATTGGTTAGAGTAAAGAAAATCTCACTAACTGAAAAGCTCTTGATTGTTAAACAAAACTCTTCTTGTCGGCACCTTAGGGAATGTATTGAGAACGGTACGGAGAATATGGATACTGATCTTGAGGTGTAAAAGGGTAAAGTATAGACAGAAGGAGAAAAAATACCACAAAGTGAAAAATATGCAAATGTATTTATCAAAATAGTTTTTAAAACTTCCACTTTAGTGAACACTCACTTAATTTCATGTTTTTTCCAGCTTCATGAATGCATGTAAAACTTTCAGCTTAAAGTATACAGACCTTTTTGAAATAAAGGCAAAGCATGTATGGTGAAAACTTAACATACTTAAGGGTGTTCCAATTGATACAATAAAATTAATTTAAACTATTGTTAATCACGTCAGTGTATTAGATACTCCTTGTATTTTATTAGTATATAAACTATAATTCTTCCTAAATTATGATTACATGTTTTTTTATTTTGAAGAAGCAAGTAAAGTCTTTAGAAGTTATATAGATTTTGTATTTTTTGCATATTTCCTGGATCAGAATGGCTTGAAATGACTTGATAATGAACTGAAGGTTTCTAGATGTGACTAGCTGTTTAGTGTAGACTCTTCAGCCAAGGCCACTTCACTGAATTGTGTTTGAGATACATCCGATTTCATCAATTTCACATTCCACCACATCACCTCTCTGTAAAGAAAGTGAAATTAAAGTTTGTTGCCTGGTACCTTAACATGACTGCTTGTTAGAGCAATTTTCAATTGAGTATCAAAAGTAATCATGGACTGCATTGATTTTCCTTCAAAATGCTCTCTGATTGGCCCACAACAATCGCATATCTCTCTCAACCAATCAGCTTCATAGCTGAGACTAGTTGTGCCTCTGCCACTTGTGTTTTCTGTACTTAAGGTAGTTTATTTGTTTGTACTCTGAGTTCTTATCAGCTACTTGCAATACTTTCCTTACTTCTGTTTGGCTTTGTGATTACATCTGTTTTGGCTTAAAGCAAATTCAATCAAGTGTCAAAAGTAATCCAGGATTACTTTGAGGAAGGGTGAAAGACTGAACCTTTTCCACTTCTGCTTGCAAACCCTTGAGGTAGCATAGTTCTTGGTACATCTTTTTCCTTCAAATGACTGCTAAATGCCTAGCATGGGTTGTGTTGGGGTGTTTCTTGTTAACTTAGCATTTACTAACCTTGAGGTATACTGGAGGTTTTCTGAAACAGCCAACACCTGGTGGAGTACCTGTTATAACTACATCACCAGGAGATAGGGTAATAAATCTAAAATTCAAGTCATATAACAAATTGTCAATAAACTCATGCCTATATAAGCTTATTAAATTAAATCTATAGTTCCACAAACTATTTTTAGTTTAAACCATACATTCCCCAGTGGCTCACATTGAAACTTTTTTTCCTCTCACAATAACTGAAAATCATGCAAAGTCCATTTGTGAAGAGGGAAGAATGAATAAATAAATATTATGTGAGGCCTGCATGAAAAGACCTCTGAGGATTTTAGACCCAAGTTTGTGACTGCTAATGCCACAACACTCAGCCATGTAAAGCTCATCAGCAAGAAAATCATATAACAGGCTAAAACACATCACAAGTGCATTTTGCATATTGCTAAGATCACCAATGTTAAAAGTGCCCTTTTGTAGGTCGACAAAGAACATGGCTTACACATGCTCAATGGTGGAGCTTGCAACTAGCTAGTGCAAGGCTAGGATTTGAATTTTCACTGTAGACTTAGACTTTCTCTTTGTCCAATCCTTGTGAGAGAATTACCTTTTAATCCACATGTATCTAGCAACTGCAGTAAAAAGTTACCTTTCCTCTGAACATGGAAATGATGCATTTTTTTAATAACCATATCTTATAGAATTTGTTGTTAGTAACACACTGTAGCTTCCTTTAGGTAACTTGATAGAGTTTTATATACTTAATAGACATTTAATTTAGTTGTGCTTAACATTACAGAGAGAACAAATCTTCCTGGAGACAAATAGAGTTGTCCATAGCTTGTGTAACAAGAACACCAAGCTCTTACCAGGACATTGCATGGATGCAGGAATGTGATATATCAAAGAACTCACAGTATTCTTTAATTTAGCACTCCTTACCTAGATATGAAAGAAACCAGTGCTTCTGTCTTAAACACCAAATTTTCAGTGTTTGAGTCTTGCATGACGTTACCATTAACACGACAACGGATTCCCAGCTTGTGGGGATCTAGAGAAAAAGCCACACACAATCAGTCAAAAATATTGAGACAGGTTGGATTTATAATCAAGTGAAACCTCAGAAGATGAAACTCCCCAAATTACTGTTTAATGATGGCTTATAATTATTAGCTTCCACCAATCACTGCTGCTTGTGATGACTTTGGATTTTTCTCCTTTCTTCAGAAAAAAATATCACTTTTCCTTCTTTCCTTTTTCTTTCTTTTCTTCCCCAGAAAAATTACCCCTAACCCTCAAGTGACTAGCATCTAATTTCTTCTTACAAAACACCCCTGAATCAAACATGAAGAACAAACAAGAATGAAGAAGATGATCCCAAACTAAAGAAGCTCTTGATTGATAAACAACTTCTCCTTGTAAGCACCTTAGAAAATGTATGGAGAGCAGTATGGAGAATATACATACTGACATTGGGGTGTAAAGGGTTCAGAAACCTTGCTCCATTTAATTGAGTAAATGTAGTATACACAGAACATTGTCAGTATTACAATTATCACATTACCTGATATAGATTCCTTAGTGACTATAGCAGGACCAATTGGACAAAATGAATCAAATGTTTTCCCTATTAGCCACTGTCCACTATTTTTCTTTAGCTGCCAGTCCCGTGCACTAACATCATGTACCACAGTGTAGCCTGCAACATACTCCATTGCTTCACTTTCCTGCCAGTGCAATTCATACAGATAAGTTAATACTCAGTAAAAATAGAGTTGAGTCCTCTTCAAATTAGTTCAAATTATAAACAGGAATAAATTAACCTTTTAACCACTAAGAGTGACTGGCATCTAATTTCTCCTTACAATATCACCCCTGAATCAAACTCTAACTTCACGAGAATAAAGGAAACAATCACCAACTAAAAGAACCCATTGATTGATAAACAAATTCTCCTTATCGGCACCTTAGGAAGTGTATAGAGAACAGCAAAGAGAATATGCATACTGGTGTTAGTGTGTATAGGGTTAATCAATAAAAGATGACCCTGGAGGATAGCAGGTATTGGCATATTTGGCCCTTGATTTAAAGTCTTTGGAAGAAGAAGAGCCTGGAATGTGCTTTCAATGGATAACAAGAATACCTTAATCTTCTTTCCTGTTTTTCCAATGACAAAGGCAAGCTCAACTTCAAAGTCTAGTTCCTGTGAATCAAAAATGTCATCAATAACGGAATACACTATTGACTATCAGATGAAGCCAAGCTGGTTCTTCACCAAAAAGGGAAGGTTTAATATGTAATGAGCCACATACAGACTGTCTATGATAGTTTCAGTCACCTTCATGCCTTATCGCTTAATCACATTACATTTCCTTTTGCTTTTCTTGTTTGTGAGATCATCACTGGAAGGTATTGTCTACAGAGAGGTTAACAAAAACATCATTTTTTCAATATTGTCCTAAAAACTGTCTGCACCAATGCTACAGTCTGTTATCAAATTAGTTGACTATCATATTACTAAGTCATGTTATGTCACCATGTTGACTAAATGTAACTTTGTGACAGATTGTAGTATACACAATTAACTGGCTGTGTGATAAGTTTTAAAAGTCAAGCAATAAGTTGATTAAAGATTCTAAACCTCTTGAAAAAATAACAGACCTGTGTCTCCTCAGGATAAATGATTGGTGCTCCTGGATCTGTTATTGCATTAGTAAACTTGCTAAAAATTACAGGTTCTGTGGGCAAAGGAACATTCTGCTCTAAACAGTGGTCAACATAGTTCATTCCAATGCAGATGAGTTTATTAGGATTGTGAATTGGAGCCTTAAGTTGAATATCTGCCCTCTTCAACACATGTTGACCTCCATCCACTACCCTACAATGAAAAAAAATTAACAGAATAATTTTTATGAGGTCAAGTCTTAACAACCAAGTGGCCCAAACCAACAAAGCTTCTTTTGGTTTAGCAGCATAAAGTGATTAAGAGCATCACTAATTCTCTACACTGGTTCATTCATGGGAAAATCCCCCAGTCATGCCTCACGTAAATAGCATGCAGGACCCTTGTTTAGGTGCATTGCCCAAGAGTACAACAGAATGACCCAGTCAATCCATTTCATGTGTTTGCCATCTTCCCTTTTCCTTCAGAATTAAGATGAAAATGATAGTCTTTAAGTTCTACAGAAAAGACATTTGCAACTTCCAAACCAAGCATGATTAAGAGAAGTGACTAGAGTAGTTCTCCTAAGGAAAGAAACAAGTGATCATCTGTGCTAGTTAACAAGGTTGGGTAGGGGCTAATTTACACCTTTTCAGAGAGAAATCTGCATCAACAAAACCAAAAACACATCATATTAACCTAGCCTGGCAGGCGTTCTACCAGCACTTTACAGAGAGTGGTGGCGTTGATCTGAGGAAGCTTACTCTGCCGGTAGGCAAGAGGCCAAAAGCAAACAGCTAACATGTTTTGCTATCGGGCCTTAGAAGGAATTATGTTAAAGACAGGGTCAGCAACCCAACCCCAATCTCACCACCCCCCCTCCCCATCCCCCGCCCCACTTTCAAAGTGGGGGTAGGTATCGGGTAGGTTAGGCTCCAATGAACATGCGTATCCAAATAAATACGCAATTTATTTTGTGCTCACTCGAAATTTCAAACCACACGAGCTTTTACCTTTGCGCTTTCTTCATCATCTCTTCTCCTCCTTCTAGGAAAGATTTCATATCACTTGGGATAGAGGATTCGCCAGCACACAAGTCAACCACATTGCCGCCATCTTTGGTCTCGACACCAACCCTCTGCCTTCCACCTTCAACAAATTGAACAAGACGCATGGTGTGCTTAAATCGACTAAGTATACAACTTTGTATAAGATCTGGGCGGATCCCGTGCAAATGCCGTAACATAAAGCAGTTAAACACGATTCAAAGTTCTTCAGTGGTTTGGTGTACAATGAAAAGGGACGACTCGTCCACGTTGTCATGTACGACGTCACTAATTGTGTCTTGGCCCTCAGGACCGTAACTTGACCAGGGGGTCTTTCTGAATCGGAACGGGAGTACTAAGTGCTATCCAGTCTACGTAAGCAGCACTAAAAATGTTTTAAAAACCCATATCTTAAAAATTAGTGCCTGAATATGGTAGACATGGCTTTAAGGATTTCATGTGACTGGACAATTTAACCACTTTGACGCCATCAAATAGGCTGCCATGGTGACACCCTCGAAGAAATGTAGCATACGAAGAAGTTGCGCGAGTGAGAAGGGAGCACGCGCGAGGTACAACGCGTACGGATAGGTCAGAGGGAGATCTTCATTAACGTCTGATCTCTTGCGCGCGCGTTAGCCGCGACGAGCCTAACGGCAGCAAAATTTACTAATAGAATCCTGTAGCAGAGGACCATAATTCGACACCGCGCTTGTAGGTAATGGTCTTTGGGTGGGCAAATCGAAACTCATCGCTACTTTTCTTCATTCTCATTTCGAATGAAATATCGATAATGAAGTAAACCTTCCTTACCTCGAACGAATGAAACCCGATAGATTTCATAACTTTCACTACTGTGAAAGTAGAGAGCTTATAGTATGCAAGGGCAGTTTCTCAATACAGGATGCCAAACTATCAAGTTTAATATAGAAGTGTCTCAGAAGTACCTTGGAAGCATGAAAATTTCCCCCATTTCATTATAGGAAAGGTTCAATGAGTGGAAAAATCACTTTTATCTATGGGCAAATCTGATTTGGGTAAGCTCATTAGATTGAAAAGTAGATGGAACATTTGTAAATATATCAATCACGTCCCAGAGAAATGGTGACTGACGCATTGCTATGAAGAGGAAGCTTTCAAAAACTCTTTTCCTCTTGAACATCATTGGATGCAACATTGTGACTTTCATAGCCTCATCTATTGTACGGGTCTATAAAAGGATTATGTGGGAAATTTAAAGAGATTGGGGTGTGGCCAGTTTGACCATCTGAAACTAAGCGGGCTACAAACAAATTAAAAGGCTACCGTCGCGTGATCAGCAAAAACAGACAAGAGAGAACGAAAAAAGATAAGTTTAATTAAGAGCATACCAGGCAAACGAATTCTTTCTCTTCTATTACTGGTAAGAAACGACATACATTACTTATTTCATTTAAAACAACTGACTTCAATTATAAAAACATTTTGTCTCAGACCATGAAGTGTCTGGCCTCAATGCAGTAGTTGTGCTGGACAGGAGGTGTAAGCTAAATCAGTGGCACATTATTCTTCGTCAGTTCTTTTTTTCTTTTTCTTCTTTTTCTTCGGCTCACTTGATTCTTGGCTAATGACAGGCACGACTTCCTCTTCTTCTTCCTCTGCCTTTCTCTTCTCTCCTTTCTCCTTTTTCTTCTTTTTCTTTTTGCTTCCCTCGTCGTGCCCATTTTCTGAAGCAGCGGACGTATCCACAGCCGCTTGCTCTTCTTCTTCAACAGCTTCATCTTGTCTGTTTTTTCTCTTCTTCTTTTTGCTCCCCTCATCGTGCCCATTTTCTGAAGCAGCGGACGTATCCAAAGCCGCTTGCTCTTCTTCCTCAACAGCTTCATCCTTCTGTTTTTTCTCCTTCTTTTTCTTCTTCTTTTTCTTTTTCTCAGTCGATTCGTCATCGGCCGCATTGCTCGTTTCCACAAACTCTGCTATAGCCTCTTTCATAACTTCAATATTCTTCCTTGGAGCCTCTCCTGTTTCGTAGAATTTCAGTCGATCCTCCACTTGGTCGTGTAACTTCTGACCAAACACACTGGACTGTGTTTCTGTTAATAGAAAAAAAAAAAAATCAGACAATCAGAATCATTCAATAAATCGTTATTAACCTACTGATTAATTTACTCGTTTATCGCTGTGTAATTAAGTTTTTCTGCACTGATATTTGATCCCAAAATCCCATAAGCAATGAACGAGAAAAGTGCAAACATCTTGTTTCGATTGAGATCTGCAACGATAGGACTTCAAAAGTGTTACCTGGGCATCTAACAGAAGAATCTACAGTGCTTGATTTGACGGGACAAAAGTTCCCTGAGGGCTTGGTGGTTGAGAGAGGCAAATCAGATGGATTCAATTTCTTATCAGTGATTTTTCTTTTTATTTGCTCAACACTTGCCATATCTAAAATAGTACAAGCAACAGGTTCCACACATGATTTGGGGATGTGAATGTATTTAGGTTGATGCGGTGTTTGGACAGTTAATGGTCCTCAATTTTTCATAATTTTCTTTGGTCATGAAAAGAAAGAACCTTTTAAGAAAAGCACTCTGAGTTTTTATGAATTCATCTGGATAGGAAAACAGAGGCAGTAAACAGTCTACCCACCTACAAATGTACTTCTATGAAATGATTATAGATCACTGTAAGAATATCGTATCAACAACAGATCTACCATTATGAGACTGAAACACCAAACATTTATTATGCAAACAAAGTTTAAGTTCATTATCAGCATACCTGCAAAGCAGTCAATCCTTGAGGCAATGGAGCACTTATTTGCCAAGTACCTTGATATCCGACCCTTGTTCTTCACCCCAGCACGGCCAATAAAAGATGAATGGAAGATAAGTCCATACTTTGGTGTGTTTCCCTTTTTCTTCAGTGCTCTATGAAATAAAAAGGTAACATGAATCATATCACAATTAAACCCTTTACCCTTACCATTAATATTTATATTCTCTGTTCTGTTCTCTATACATTTCCTTAAGTACTGACCAGGAGAATTTGTTAGACAATCAAGTCCTTCTTTAGTTAGCAATAATTTCCTTTATTATTGCAACCTTAATTTGTGATTCAGGGGTGATATTGTAAGGCAAAGTTAGATATTAGTCACTCTAAAGGGTTAAAGAGTTAAGAGAACTGCACAGTCAATCATTTTTCCTATTTGACAGGAAAAATGAACACCTTTTTTGAAAAGAAATTAGCCACCTGAATAAAGCTTTCTCAGCTCCAAGGATCTGAACTGTGGATGCAGGATACTTTGCCAGGTTTGTCAAGCTTCCAGCATGAGAGATCAACCGAGCTCCAACCTAAAATAAAGACACATTTACCAATTTGACTCAAACACACGTAGTTGAAAACTCCCCCCCCCCCCCCAGTGTAACACTTTATCCCTTTATTTTAAGAATGATGAAAAAAAAAGGGAGGGAACATTTTGGTGAAACAGTGTCAAAGGTATTGTATTTTTGCATTGTATGCCGATTATTTCAAATTTCTTGGCTTATCTCCTGTAGATTACACATGGACTTTTTAATAAAAATAGCAACATGGAAATGTTATCATCAAACTGAATGTTACTCTAAAATTACTGTTACCAATGTAACTTGATGAAATCTGACTGAGGTGATTCAGAAAAGAGCAACAAATTCTAACCCTGGTCGATGATAATTAAAACAACTGTAGCAAACAGATACAACACTGTAAAAACAACTGTAACAAATTGGAGCAAAGGTGGCAAAGTTTTTGCAAATGGAATCACAGTATAAATTGCCAAAAATGGTAGTTTGATTCATTTGCTATGAAGCAATGACACTAGGGAAGAAAACATGTACTTTTGAGGCTAATATGGTATTGGAATTATCTATACTGAAAGTTCATTATATGTCACCTGCTCTCCAATGAGGGCAGAAAGATTGGGTGCCACTTGATTCATTTTAGAAACCAAATAAGTATGGAGACTCTTCCTGTATTCTGCCAGACTGATCACTCTCGATGCAAAGGTCTGGATATTTATCAAGTCCACTGGAGATATATCCATCCCTAGGGAAATAAAAACCCACAAAATTTAGATAGGTCAGTAACTGAGTTGGAAAGTTGTAAATGTCAATGCAATATATTGTTATATTTCAGTAAAGTATCACCACATATAATTACATATAAAAGTTCTGATTGGACATGGATGGAATAAATATGTTCATGTAACAATTAAGTGCACATTTTTGGAGACATAATTATATGCTGGTTTCCAAAATTTTATCTGCTAATGTTCTTGGGTGGTAGAAGATGATAGAGTATACGCGCAGTATTAGATACAACTAAGTCAATGCATTTCTGAACACATTCTACATCTTCAAGATCTAGAGTGATATAAGGGCATGCAATACTCTAACACCAGCCTAATGCAGGCAAGATAGAAGCAGATGATAATATGAGCTGGAACATTTCCTGCATCAGCAAGACTTGACTTTCACAGGAATATTAAATTGATAAGTGAAATAAGTGTGAAAATCATTCGAAGACTATGCTAGAGTTTAGCCATTATGAACACCTCAGTACACACAAAAAAAAACTCCTTTAGTTTAGGATGAAAAGTCAACAAGCATTAACTAAACAACTTAAAAGCCAATCTGTTAAAATTATTTATCAGTTCACTCACCCATTGATGATTTGGAAGCATCATAAATTGCTTTGGCTTTTGCTGAGTCCATCACAATTTCTTCCAACCCTTCCAGCTTGTCTTCAGAGAAATCCTTTCTAGACTTGATGTATTGAGCTGCTTTTGCATACATGTAATTGTCAGAGACTATCTTGACAAGCTCTGGGAAATGGTATGAATACCATTCTCTATACCAAGGGAAAAAAGCTCATGTGAGTACAGGCAAACTTTAGGGGTGGTCTGAGTAGGTGCTGTGGGACAAGGGAGGCCGCAGGCATTTAAAGGTTATTTAAATGGAGTAGTGTCCCAGGACAAGTTAGAATACTCTCTGGTGCTCATAGTAAGTGATCAACCTCTCCCTCTGCCATTCTAAAGTTGCATTGGGAATTACTTCATCTTCTAAATATTCCAAACATTTGTTTTCAATGAACATTTGATTTCAAATGTATCATCATCTGGAACAAACAGGGATAAATTTACAACACACAAAAAGGTATTTCAGTGCATTTTCTGTAATGATCATAACTGTGTCAATAACAAATGCTTGAATATGAGAGGTTCTTGACCAATCAGATTTGTGGTCTTATTGGCTGTTTTAGGTCCAGACTGTCCCATTTGATACATCCAATTACAGACACTTGTATCTACAGGCCTAATTGGACAGTGTGGTAGCCAATAAAATTTGAGCTCTTTGAGCCACCAGCCTCACTAGCCAATGCCAGCCAATAGAAATGAAGAAAACTTCTCACATGAGCAGGTTAAGGGGTCCACATTTTAACCAAACATATATCAATGCATTATATTCTTCATTCCCGAGTTTCTCACATTTTGTTATTGACACATTCAATTGGTTATGGCACTTGATGTTGTACAATTCAGGGGTAATCATGCTGGTAATTTCAAATCAACCTCACACTATGCACCCTGCCTATTTGAAATCTCTCACCCCTTTACTCCTCCACCATTCAAGAATCATCGAAAAAATATAGATTAATCAACAGTCAATTTAGGTTCAAATATCAATTTTACAAATTTTGGCACATCCTTACAATAATGAATATCCAAATTTCCATGTCCAGAAATTTTCCTACCATTCCCAAACTACACCATGGATCACTGTACACACCTGATTCTCATGGAGAAGGTATTGATGTCTTTATCCAACTGATCCAACAAACTAATGGACTGGATGATCATGTTGTCTACACGATGAACATTAAACTTTACTTTTGCTCTAGAGTAACTGTGGCCCAAACCCAGCTGTGCCTTGGCAGCCATTGGACCAGTCAATCCCTTGATCATCTTCTCAAAATGAAATCTTATTCCTCTGAGGACCTCTAACACCAATCCACCAGACTCACACTGGATGTTTACAGTCTCCTGAATAGCTGCCCCAAGTTTGGCATCCGAAACGCCAAGAAGAACTTTACTCTTCTTTTTCCCAGTTGGAACATTTGCCTCCAAAAATGTTTTGAGGTCATCATGGATAATACCTAAAGTAATGTAAAAATGTCAAACTAAGTCAGCTGGAATCACTGGCAATATATAACTTAACCCTCTAACCCCAAAGAGTTACTGTCCTCTAATTTCTCCTCACAGTACCCCCCTTGATTGAAATGTACAGGTCAGGAGAATAAGGAAAATGGTCCACAATTTAAGAAACTTTCAACTGTCAAACAAATTCTCCTTGTCAAGAATAGTGTGGAGAATACGAACACCTACACTAGGGTGTAAAGAGTTAAAAAGACATCACACTACCATAACTACATGTAAGTTACAATGCTTCAAAAATAATTACAAAATGTAGCTTCAAGGGGATTTTAGGTCTGCCATGAAAGTATATTAATACTTTATTTCAATGCACACACGTGATCGATACTCGATCTTACTTGATGGAGGGTTGGTTGTGCAGTCAAAAAGACGAAGGAGAAGCACAACAAAACCAATTCTTTCTAACACGTGAAGCAAATTGTAGCTACGTCACGCACAATTTCATTCTATACGTACTACCAAAACAAACTTTACAACCCACGATCAAGCAATCGATCAGAGAATTGTATATACGCTCACAAACCTTCAGATATACAGTTGATGTTATCCAGTGCATTAGTTCCCGATTTAAAGGGCGAAAACGCAGCAAGTTTCACTAATTTTCCGAATCGAGAAAGATCAGTAGCAGACTCTTGTACTTCGGGTAAAAGGACTCCGATTTCTTCCTGCGCGATGACTTTGAATACTGCATAGCCAGAGGCATGCTCGTACAACACAAAGAGAACCTAAATGGAGAATTACAAACAGTTAGACTTCGCTAACAAATTGAAAAGATCGAAAATAACACCACAACAACTTGATGACCTACCATTTTGTTCAGAACCTCGTGGTGCAAAATTGGCTCCCAGTCCCTATGAGAAAATGGAGGGACCTGGGAAGTCTGGAAACGAATACAAGAAAAAGCCGTAATCAGCCGCAATCTCGCATTTTTGGACGAAAAACTGTCGAGCTGACTCCCTCAGATTACACATATGAGTGAATAACAACAGAAATCAAGAAAGTTCAGAGAGAGCTGAATAATAAAAAATGAAGCGAAAAAGCATTTGGACAAATGGTTGTTCAACTTGACCTAAGTTCACTATGATCCAAACATGATACAGATTTCCGGATGAAAATCACTGTAAGTGATAATGGAAATGCAATACTTTCGTTTATAAGCGAGTAAAGTTTCAGAAAAGGCTTAAAATGTAACCAAGAAGGCTACCATAATAAAAACAAAACTCAGTAATCTGGCGGCACACGTATGGCAGTTTGCATTATTTGCACCAAAAATGCAATTAAGAGAAGTTCCTTTTGGTTTGGAGAGACCGCCAAGAGATTAAAAAGTATGACCTCTTAACTCACAGGTAAGCAGCCAGGTTTCTAAGCAAAATTCAAAATGGCGGTGTCCGTGGTCGAATTTCAATACATTTAAACACAACGCACTTACAATGAAGGAAAAAAAAGACCTAAAAAGCAGAACGTACTTACAACTAAAATGACAAACAAACAAAAAAGATAAAGGGCGATTACAACTAACGTAAGCAACAAACAGATAAGAAAGAGTGCGCTTAGTACTAATGTAACAAATAAGTCGAAAAAACAGAGCGCGATTACAACCAACGTAAGAAAGTAAGAAACAAACAGAAAAGACAGAGAGCGGTTACAACTAACGTGACAAACAAACAGAAAAGACATTGCGCGCTTGCAACTGGTGTAAAAAACAAACAGAAAAGACAAAGCAAGACTAGAATTAATATAAAAACAAACAGATACGACAGCACGATTAGAACTAATGTAACAAACGAACAAAAAAGACAGAGCGCTTAGAACTAAAGTAACATACAAACAGAAAAGAAAGAACGTGCTAAGAACTAATCTAACGAACAAACGGAAAAGACAGAGCGCGATTAGAACAAAAGAAACAAACCGAAAAGACAGAGTGCGCTTTAAACTAACGCAAAATTGAACAAAAAAAAAAGCGTGCCTAGATGTAAAGCAAAAAAAAAGCCAAACATAAAATACAAAACGAGCTAAGTACTAACGTAACAAAAAACATTAAAGACAGCGCGTTGATTTAAAAATGAGGTATTAAGAAGAGGCTCCCAAATTGGGGTTTTCCGGGATCCGGGATTGGGCTTATTTGATGGCCGGGGTCAGGGAATTTTGAATAAGAAGTGGAGGGAGATGCGGAATTGTTGGTATGAACGGGACACGGGAATCGGCGATTTTAAGAGCGGGATTCGGGAAATAATCACTTACAACGAACCGTGAACGGGTATTACCGTTGACGAGAATTTATAAAGAAACTGCTGTACGTTTAAGTCCGAAACAGTTAGCCTCGCGTTTCACGTGAGATCACGAGATCGCGTTTCAATTCTCCTTTCATACGCAAAAGTGAAACGCGCCTTTGCCCCGCGCTTTTATTTTCATTGCAACCCCTTGGTGATATCGGGACGTTCTAAGCCTTGTCCTGTTCTCTAATAGTAACCTTTGATTTCCTCCTCGGAAGAATTTCCCGCTATGGAAGAAGTAATCGCTTCAACAGCAGAATTGTTTCCAGTTAATTATTCCTTATTTCCCTTGTTATGGAACTATGTGATTGTCAATGGATGCGAGACTATCGCAAGAGAAAACAAGAAGAAACCCTCCTTTAGCTCAAACTGCATGAGAGGAAGAGTCACTTGCTCTCTCATTGCTCTCTGCGAGTAGCTGGGTGGTGCACAGCGCTGCTTTTGTACACCAAAGCTATGTAAGGAGTGAGTTGATGATTTTTACGAAAACAAAAAACACAATTTTTACGAAAACAAAAAACACAATTCTACAAAACGTTACCTACAATGCAAGACTCATTACGCTACTCTACTTACAGAACAATACTTACGATACCTACAATGTAGGTTACTCGTGCTAGCAATACAGTACTGAATATGGTTACTTACGAAAAAAATATAATTACTTGCAATACTAGCTACTTACACTACAAATAATACAATACTCTACTTACATTAGTTCTGAATTTACAGTTACTTGCAATACATTGTGCGGTATATTGACTTTGAGGAGGCAGAAGTACTCCCCAATAAAACATATAATTAAGACAAACTTTCAAGATTGTATTTAATGAGTAGCTTACTGATAAAATCCTGAAAGGAGATGGCCAGGCTATTTAACTTGGCTGAATAAATATAATGGCACATAAATAAGGCGGTGTAGTTGAATTTCCGTATTATTGTTGTGTCGTGGGAGCTTGTAGTAATACCGAACAGTCTCCTCTGTGTAGGAGAGATTTGGCTCGCATTCACTTGGTTGAACCAGTTTAAGACCTTTTGGGTAAACATACATTCGATAAAAGAGTGCTCAATTGAATCTCTATCTCCGCAGTATACACATTCATCGTTCGCCTTAATACCAAATCTGAATAGTTCTTTCTTAGTTACTATCGTTCTGAGGATTAATTTAAATTGAAATTCTTTTAATTTAGTTTCCCTAAAAATTTTTTTAGGTGATTTAAAGTTCTTAGTTCATACGTCTTTCTTGAAAGAGAGTTTTTCGCTCCAACGTTTAGGACCCGTTTGATCTTCGGTGTGAATCTTGACGTTAAGCAAATTATAAAATACCTTTGACTTAGCCTTGTATAGATTACTTTGGGTTGATTCGTTGAGGGAAAAGATATCATTTCGGGTAAAGAATGATTTGTTGATGGTGTCGGAGCCTTTGGCTAGAGACCATAGGCGTTTAGGAATAGCGCTAACTACTTGATAATACTGTAAGAAATCACGGAACTCGTGGAATGTTAAAACATTGCCACTTTCACTCAATAGATCGTTAATCGATACAATACCTTTTTAAAACCATTCATTAAGGAAGATGGGTTTCCCGTCAACCAATAACTCTTTATTATTAAACAATATCAACTCCTGATCGTACGAGTAAAGAGTTTTTAACTCGTTGAAGAATTCTAGTATCTTCTTAAATATCCAGCTCAAACTGTATGAGAGGGAGAGACACTTGCTCTCTCACTGCTCTCTGCAAGTAGCCGGGTGGTGCACTGCGCTACTTTTGTATACCAAAGCTATGTAAGGAGTGAGTTGATGATACCGCACCTTTGTCCTCACTGTCAGCAGAGATCATTCAGCCGTTCAAACAGAAGAGACTGTCACGAGAAATATTCGAGTTCGAAACCACTAGTCAAAAGACTTTTAGCTTAAGATTCTAAAACCTCCAGCCAAACAAGACCTATTCTATTCGGGGGAATAGAAATGGGCGAGGCTTTTCGATTCAAGACACCCTGTAGCTTTTTAATCGTGGGACCGTCTGGATGTGGTGCGACGTATTTCATCGAGTCGTTATTCCTAGACCATTTAGATGAATTATTTGTAAACCCTCCTACTGTACGTGATGCGTTACTACTATAGCGCATGGCAAGTTGGTTTCCCTGATAAAATGCTTCTCTAAAAAAGGTGGTTAGTTGGATGATTTGATGACCGAATGAGGAAATGATAAAGAGGTGTTGGATCTTTCTACCAAACACTACCATCATCACAACATCACCATCAAGTACCTGTGTCAAGACATGTTTCCAGCGGGCAAATATGCTAAGAGTATTGCTAGATATGTTCATTACGTTTAACTTAACCCTTTTCGAAGAATTTGCTATTGCAAGCATTTCTCAACAAGTTTTATCAGGTAATCGCATACCAGACACCAAAATTAAAAATTTCTATCATATAACCATCTTGCAATATTTGTAATCACTGCAATATTTCACGTGTCACGTATTTGAACATCGGAAAGATAACTATACAAATTATGTTTTCCCGCCTAACTCATTTATGACTTTCTGCGTGACATCCCCCTGTAACACCCTTTCGCGACGGCGTGACAACATGAAAATTGTGTTACAGCTCAAACCGCCATCTTGTTAGCCATATTTGGTAATGCCCGTTTGTTCTTGGTTGGAATACTACTAGACTACAGTGCCTCCTATTACTACTCTCGAGCGAATCTGTTTTTCGACGACAGAATTTAAAGAGCTCTGTAACACTCTCCAGGATGATGAATTTCTCGTTTAAACGAGACCGCTTGAAATACCATGGTCGTAGTTTCAGCGTCTATAAGAGAGTCCTAAGAATGTGCTCTGTTCTTGACGCTTTTTTTCCTGTCCACTATGACTGTGGCGTTTTCGGAACAACATTCATTGGGTCCTCGTATGACTCATCTTCTTCACCTTCAGTCTGTAAGAAAACAAAACAATATGTATTAATGTAACTGGCAAGAATCTTCCTTTTAACCCTTTACACTCTAAGATCAGTATGTGTATTCTCCATACTGTTTTCTATCCATTTTGTAAGGTAGTGAAAAGGAGAATTTGCTCAACAATCAAGACCCTCTTTAGTTCGGCGTCGTGTGGGTTAATGTGGTAGAAAATGGTTAACTAAGGGTAGATGGGGGTTAACTTGGTAGAACATGGCTAACTAAGGGTAGTGGGGGGTTAATGAGGTATAGCATGGTTAACTTAGGGAAGTTGGGGGTTAATGTGGTATAACATGGTTAACTAAGGGTAGTTGGGGGATTAATGTGGTATAACATGATTGGCTTATGGTAGTTGGGAGTTAATGTGGTATAACATGATTAACTTAGGGTAACTGGGGGTTAATGTGGTATAACATGATTAACTTATGGTAGTTGGGGGTTAATGTGGTATAACATGGTTAACTAAGGGTAGTTGGGGGATTAATGTGGTGTAACATGATTGACTTATGGTAGTTAGGAGTTAATGTGGTATAACATGATTAACTTAGGGTAGCTGGGGGTTAATGTGGTATAACATGATTAACTTATGGTAGTTGATACATTTATTTAATACTTTAATCTCTTACCTTAATATATGACATTCCCCACTGGGGTGAGGTGGGATCGCTATTTCCTTCTCCTATTGATAACAACAAAAGAACAACAAAAACAGTACAAATTTTCGGGTACATTACAGTGGGATAAATGAAAGCGGATAGCATAGTTGACAATAAATTTTGCAACGCCTTCGTGTTCTCCAAGAGCTTTTCGAGCATCGATTTTCACTGGGAAGTTTTGAAGTTCAGTTACTATGAAAAAGTACCAAAGCTCTCCCTCAACTTTCGCCTGCACCCTGACGCGCACTCTGAATATATTTGTAGAACATGGTGTACTGTCTCATAATGTTAAAACAAAAAATAAGTATCCAGCAATAAATTTCCATATATGTTGGGAATATGTATGGAAATGATACACATTGCAAGCGATTCACCAAAAATATAACGGTTAGTTGATCATCTCTTTTTCTCATGGCGACCTTATTTTATAATGAGAACTTTTCTCGTCGTGAAAATTTACTATTGAACTTTGCAAACTACTTTGGACAAGTTGCTATTAATTTGATCATAAAAAAAAATTCACGATCAAGAAGAAAACTGCTTTAATTTTCAATTTAGCATGCTAGGTCGATGCGAAGCCAGAAACAGTCGACCTCGTAGCACCCCCTACAAAAGAGGTTTGATAGACTGATAGGCTGATACCCACAGATTATCGCTACGTCAGTCGTAGTCACAAGTTGTGGGGTCAGTGACTTGCTATGGGGGGGGGGGGGGGGGGGGGAAAGGGGTTTGAAGTGCTTTGGAAGTACCAATAATTATGTGTTCCAAAACGAGGGGAGATAAAACTTAAGTCCAGGAAAATTTTGGCTGGTTGGTGAACCGATACCACAGCAACAGTTGCTAAGGAAATTAAGAAGAAACGTGATTTTGTGAAATATGATTTAAAAAAAAGGAAAAGAATAAATGGCAGATGTTGTTAACTCGAAAAATACCTTACCGTCGATCTTGCTCTATATACAAAGGCAAAAGAAATTCAGTAGAAACACCCTGAGGAGTCTGAAAACGTTATGAATTGTTTGGAGAATTTCATTTCGCGTTTAATTTTCTAGTTGCAATAGTCATGAAATTTCAAGAACGTGGTATAGAAGATATTTCACGCTCCTCGAAATTAAGTCTTTCATCTGCAGAGTTAGAGCACATAAGCTTTTGATGGGAGCTTTTTTGAGATGCAGTAGAAAGCATTCTGTGCCTGGATCTCAGAGGTAAAGCAAGTTCTGATATAATCAAAAAAATCTCTGCACATACAAGGCAGTATCTACAACTGAACAGAGGAAAGATAAATACCCTCTGCTATATACGATACATCGAAGGATCTTTGTCTCCTGTTCAGCAGATCTAAGAAACAGAGTTCGTGACCACAGTTCAAGTTTTGGGGACAGCTACACAAACATGGCACTCCTTTTAAATTTCATCAAAGCAGAGCGCAAAGGATACTAGGAGATACATCTCGAGGCAACAGCTGAGAAGAACCCTCATTTTTGCTCAATGGATACAAAAAAATATTTCCCCATTGGCTTCCAGTTTACGTCAAAGACATGAACCCACTTGATAAGAGAGCTCGATCGCAAAAAGTTTGTTGGTCGATCAAGGAGTCAATGAGCTTTGATAAGTGCTCTCAATACCAACAATTTTGTGTGTCGATCGGGGAGGTAACGACCTCTAATAAGAGAGCCCTATCGCAAGAATTTATTTGGACGATGGGGGAGTCAATAAGCTCTGATGAGGGCTTCCGATTACAAGAAGTTTATCAGTCAACTTAGGAGTCAATGAGCTCTGATAGGAGCTCCCGATCGCAAGAAGTTTGTCTGTCGATCGGGGGGTCAATGAACTCTGATGAGAGCTCCCAATCACAAGAACTTTGTCTATCGATCCGGATGTCAACGAGCTCTGATAAGAGCTCCCGATAGCAAGATTTTTGTTGGTCGACCAGGGAGTCAATGAACTTTGTTAAGAGCACCTAATCGCAACAAGTTTCAGTGTTGGATGATTGGGGAGGCAAAGAGCTCCGCCAAGGGCTCCCTATCGCAACAATTTTGTTTGTCGATCGGGGAGGTAACGACCTCTAATAAGAGAGCCCGATCGCAAGAATTTGTTCGGACGATGGGGGAGTCAATTCGATTAGAATATGCTGTTCATCTGTTTATAAAGGTGATAGTAACTAAGCTGTCAATGTTTATCCATCACTCCACTTAGTTAACGAATCGCGTTGAATCACGAGAAGTCGATCTTGCTTTTGAAACATTTTTGTTCAAAATGTTGACTCTTCACAAGGTGACTTTTCATCTGAATTTTCATACAGTCTCAGTTAAGATCCGGCAAAACAGAAACGAGATATATCTACTGAGGAAATTAGAATTAGACAATATAGGCGATTTAAAGGAAAAAACAGCGTTTAAAAGCTTTCATGTAACATTAAGAAAAACAGAAGTTGGAGTAGGAAGAGACTGTCCAACGAGCTACGTGCACTTCGAAAAAACCTCGTGGCTGTAAATTCAGTGCGGAAGATAAATAGAAGAAATTGTTAACAATAAAACCACCTTGGAAGAAAAAGGTGTTAACCGCGCTAAACTTAAAAATAAAGGAATTCTTCCTTGATGCTGAATTATGCATGGGATCAACCCCAAGCGAAAACTAAAAAGGATTGGAAAAAGAAGGGTATTACTACCACGGAGTTTATAAACAGATATCAGTTTTTAACAAAAGCAATTACCTTTTCTTCTACTAAACCGATTAACATTGTTTCCAAGAGCAGGTGGAGCATAGCTTACCGAAAGAACCAGTTTCCACGGAATCTGAACACCTTTTTACTCCGAATTCGCGATAAGAGAAGGAGTGCTTTGATCAAAACTTATAACGGCCAACAATAAGTGCTTCATAATTTCAGAGAACTATTTTCTCGTAGCAGTATGATCAGTGCACAGTCTTCATATGTTAAAAGAGTAAGGTAAACTTACGATCGATGGATATTTTGGTTGTGTCCTCGTGTACCGGTACACAAAGGAACGAAACATTAACGAACTGCGTCACAACTCCATGTATGGATATGAAAACAATAGGAATTCCCCCGTGTACCGGTACACCAGGACAGCCCCGATATTTTCCTTTAAATTCCCAAAACTAAATAGGCTAGAATGACGCGCAAATAAAGGGGGTAATTCTCTAAAGTAACTGTGGTGCTACTTCGATGGGAAAGTGTAACAGGGTAATTTGGTATTATCAACTGAGTTGGTACCATAACTTGGCCACCGTAAAGATTTTCAAAGCTGACGTTTCGAGCGTTAGCCCTTAGCCATTCGCTGACGAAGGACTAACGCTCGAAACTTCAGCGTCGAAACTCTTCACGGTGGCCAATTTAAGTCTACTTTGCTGTGATAGAAAAGAGAAAAAAGCAATAAGGAAAAAGCCCAAAATCAGAATTCACAGGCATATAGCATACGAACACGACATAGGCATTTTTTGGAATCGCTTGATATTCCTAAACAACAACTGATACTCCTAAATATGAACGAATTTTTCGATGGAAATTCTTTGAAATTATTCGGTTGACGGGGTATATAGCCAGAGGGTTGTTTTAATTGCTAGCAAGTTCCAATTTGGCTTTTTTGTTTTGTCCACGAAAACATTATTGTCACCAGGTGAATACCAGAAAGTTTTTGCGAGATACTAATTTTGTCTTGATGCCGACTGCGTCAGAAATAGTTAATAATGAAGAGGTAAAAGGTAAGGCTGACTAAAATAAACCCAAAATGTGAAGCCTTGTTTTCTCTCGTGGTTTTTAAGTGAAATATTAACTCGAATTAAAGAATGCTACCCTAACAATTACAACTATTTAAAATGCAGGTCTTGTCACGACATTTTTGTATTAATCATGCAGTTCATCCAGGCACCTGCCTCATAATTGTTTTTTTTTCAGTGGGCTCCTTTCGGAAAAGTAATTTACAACGATACAATTCTACCACAGAAATACGGAAACTTCAACGAAGAACTTCATAAAAAAAATCAATTCAGTTAGTAGCTTGCAATATCTGCTCGACATAAAATGCCTTCAACATAAGAATCGTCACTTGGAAATTACTAGACCTCGATCTCTTTTTCCGTTTCACAGCCTGAACCGTTCAAATCGTTGAATGCCATAGGCAAAGCAATCCCAACGGCAGCATTCAAAAGGAGGAGATTGAGCACCTTTTGAAAAGTAAGCATTACTCCGAAACACGCAATAAACAAAGCTACAAACAATGCGGTTCCCTTATTCTTCACACAAAACTTTATCCAAGACACTTTCGGAGCAGCCGCATCAAGTTGCGGTTTACACGACCCAAAAGCCACATGCAATAGAAGCACGATTGTTACTGTCGTTATCAAATTGATTGCCATCAGATAAAACAGTGTATCTTCGCAAAAACAATTGAGCCGGCATCGGATCGTTACAAAAGCGGCCAAAACCAGCGCTAAAACTGCTGTTGTATTAGTTGCATATGAAGGAATTAATTCTCGTTTTCGACATGGTACAGATCGAGGTTCATTGGCAAAGAAAGCCAAACTTCCACTAACAGAAAACACCATAAAGGTTGCCACTGACGTATACATTCCATTGCAGTGATCGCAATCATGTTCCCCACAAAGTGCGTTAAAGCCTGTCCACGAGCTTACTGTGTTCGTGACAAGAACGAAGACTTGATAAACAGCTTGACAAAATACGACAGTCCACCTTTCCTCCAAAAATGTGTTACTTGCTTTGTTTTTATAGCAGTTGGAGAGCATTTGTAAGTTAGACAAGACTCCAACGAAAGCAATAGCAGTTATCAAGGAATTGTAAATAAAACTCATTCTTCTGAGGGCCAATTTGTTGCGTATTACCACCCTCGGTTTGACAGCTTTCCTTTACCTGTTTTCGAAATATTTTGGCCTTGTTTCCCCAAGGAGGTCATTGAAAAGAGAATCAATCGTGTTTCGAGTTCCAAACTCCCATAGTTCTAATAAAAACAAAAATTGCGGGTCACTCTTACCAGTATTGGTTCCACTGGAAACCATCCCATATGGACTGAAACATAAAACGCAGAAGAAAATAAGTCAAGCGACACTAAAATAGCCTGATTATAATTATAGTCGCAACATCATAAATCAACTCATGGTAATATCAATATACCAATAAGAGGAATTCATTATACTGCCAGTTCAGTAGCAAAGAATGGTTCTTAACATGAAATCGATATCATTGCGTGCCAAAAATGTCACAAGACAGACCCCGTGACACATGCAACACAGAGCTAGGAACTAGATCAGCATTAAATAGGGTTTGAACCAAAGAAAGCTGATAAATTGAAAGCGTGACATAAAAGGACATTTGTTAAATGGAAACTGTCTGCATTGCCAATATGGGCCAATATTGGCCAATACAAAAATAACATTGTAAATGTTCATCTAATTCTTAAAGAGTTGATTGGGGAGGACTAAGAAAGTAAATACATGTTTTCTGACTTTGCCAGAGTATTTAAAGAGTTAACATCACTATACAACAATAGACACTTAATGTGTGGTCCACTTAGTGGTAAAAAAAACTAACTAGTTTCCCGTGGGACCATACATTAAGTGCTTTGTTGTATATTTAGACTTTCCCTTAAACAATCATATGGCAAAAACATGCTGTTGTATTCGGCGCGCAGGCAACAACTGCGCAATTGTATCCCGGTTGAAATACATTTGAATTTGATCAGGGGCACGTGACCAAGAAACAACCAATCACAGTGCTCGTTCTGTTGAGTGAAAGTATAGGTATATAGCAAAAGCTCATTTTTTCTACACTGTTTTCCATTAACGCAGTGACGTGGAAAAATTTTCACTACAGTACCTTAAAAGTGATAACTCTGGGCCCTGGTCTGATGTGTCTGTCTGCAATAGGAGAGCAACATCTCGTTTAGAAAACAGTCTGTTTAAGTATGATCAGATTTTGCAAAGAAAAGATGTGACTGGACTTGGTTTTATAGTATTGAGCAGATTAGGCTTCCACAAACAATTTTCTTATATGTATTCTATTTATTTTTCGTTTGACACAAAACAGCTCAGATCATGTACAGGTATGAGGAGCCAGGAAGGATCGCTTCATAATCTGGAACATTTCTCAAGTTGTGTGAAATGTTCATTGACTAACTAAATTTCTTTCTCTGTAAACCATCTTGTTTGCTTCTGTTCTGTGTTTGACTTCTTAATAGACACCACACAGCAATCAAAAAGGGAAACAAACAGTAACTTTTAATAAAAGGTTTGAAGCCTGATGAAGTAGGGAGTCGTTTAACCCTTTACATCCTAGCACCAGTATGTATAGTGTCCATACTGTTCTCTGTACATTTCCTGAGGTGTTGACTAGGATAATTTGTTTAGCAATCAAGACCTTCTTTAGTTGGTGATCATTTCATTAATTCTCATGACCTTATTGTGTAATTTGGAGCGATATTGTAAGGAGAAATTAGATGCTAGTCACTCTTAGCAGTTAAAGGGTTGAAACAGTACTCCTTAGGCCCTGAAGCACACTCACCCCAACAGATGTTTTACATGATAATCCACTTCCTTTCAGTTCCACTTCATCTTTGACTCTGGGGGAAAGGAAAAATGAAAAAGTCAGAATTCGTTTAACCCTTTACACCCTAACATGAGTATACCTGTTCTCTATACCATTCTATACACATTTCTTATTGTGCTAACACTGAGAATTTTTCAAAAATTTTCCTTTAAACTCTCAGCCTTAATGTTTAACTCAGGGGTGCATGTGACACTACAAAGAAAAATTAGATGCTAGCCTCTCTTAAGGGTAAGAAGCTAAAATCTTACAGAGCTTGTGAACCATGATTGCTAGCATTTAACTTGGTTTCTGCACTATGAAGTCACTAATTTAAATTGGTTTCCACTTCTCCTGGATGGGATGCCTTGATGCTATCCTTGTCTTCAATTTTTCCTTAAAGTTTCCTGGTACCCATTAATGTTTGAGGGTGAAGAGAGATGTCATGAATGTGAATTATCTTGTGCAAGAAGATGACTTATTATATAGCTTACAGCGCCTGAGGGCAATATGAAGCAAATCCTGTGTTCTGACTGGCTATCCAAGTGGGAAAGATGGCTCAGGATTACCAATTTGATTACATGCACAATAATAAAAAATTGCGTGAAGCAGACTAAAAAAAATTAGACATTTTTCAACAATTTTGGCAATGGAGTTGTAAAAAGGAGCAGAGGGTAAAGAAAACATATTAACCCTTTAACTCCCAAGATCTGATTGTTAATTCTCCCTTCTAGCTGCTACACATTTCCTTGTAAATTAGTTATGAAAACTTGGTGCTAGATCAAGATAGCAGCTTCTACCTGATAAGTTTGAATATTCTCATTACCTGTTTGCTGAAGAATGTATGGATATTGTAGGGAGAAGTTTTATGTTAATCACTTTTAAATGCTTTTCCTGAGTTTATTGTCAGTGTTACAATACAAAAATTACAAAAAAAACAAAAAGATGTAAAAGCATGGGAGGAGTTTTATCTAACACAAGACAAGACATGTGAAGTTTTTTTCATTCCAAAGCTGAATTTGCTTTTGTGGAATTTTCTAAAACCATAAGGAAAACCAATCAAATCACTTTATTTTGTAATTTCTTTATTCAGTTTAAACAAGCATGTGCCAACTCAGTTGGCTTTCTTCCCCAAGTTAAAATGACTTAGTTTCCTTTAAGTTATCTTTCACAAAATTAAACCAAACAAGACATCCAGCTCTTTTTGGAAAACTGTGAAGAAGCCAAAGCACTAGTCAATGCTATCACATGCTGTAATGATAAATAAACTCACATGCATCCTTGAGAGTTTCCTCCACTAGAAACCGTTGCAGATTTCCTAGCTGATGGATCCTGTGAAAAAGTACAAAGTTCTCTTAGAGTTTTTATCCTGGCTTACTGTAGTTCTATAAATTCTTCATAGTAACAGTGTACATGAGGCAAAAATGACTATCCAGTCTTCAAGATTGAGACCCTCATTTCATATTTTTCAGTATAAAAATCATGATCAAATTTTTATCTTGAAGAACAACCAATTTGTAGCTATTTCAATTATAATTTCAGAGAGGGAAAACAACATTTAAATAATTGCTTCATGTCTACTCTGAATCATTCTGAATCTTTAGATGACCTCAACAAATTGCAAGAGAAACCAGGTGAAATAAGGATCGTTGACTGACAAACATAAATAGTTTCTTTCACCTGTTTCACTGACACACTCCATTTACTTTAAGCCATGATTGTTAGATGTGCCATTTAAAAGATAAGTACATGCTGCTTTTACAGGGGTAGTCACTGCAACCTCTTACCTGGTTGTTCAGAGCCTGAAAAATACTATCCATCAGAGAGAAGTATGATGTTTCTTTAAACATTGTACTTTCTCAGCTAATGGTTAGCAATTTTTCCATTAAAGGGGATAGCAGAATAAATTTGAATAAACAAATGATAACCTATGGCAAAATTGATCATTCACCTGATCAGAATAACAATCAGGAGATGTAATTTTAAGATCAAACATTTGATTAAGAGTGATGCAAGATAAGAAAACCTGATAGATAAAATGATGTCAAGGATTGCTAATAAACTCCCTTTAATAAGAAAAATTAAAGACAACGAAGATATTGGCACATACGTCCAGCATACTGAACATAAGCTACATGTACTAAATGAATAATAAGGGTAAGTTTCTAAAGAAATGGTGGTGGTGCTGCATAAGTGGGAGAGTATTAAACAGGGTAATTAAGAATTATCAACTGAGTTGATAACATAAATTGGCCACCAGAAAGAGATTTAAAGCTGATGTATCAGTATCAGCCCTTCGTAAGAGCAGTGAATGATGAAGGGTTCACCCCTGAAATGTCAGCTTTGAAACTCTTTACAGTGGCCAATTCACATTATCAACTTAGTTGAAAATACTTAACAACATGTACCAAATTCAGTGGATGCTTACAATCAAAGCCTTGTATTCCTGTATCATCTCCATATCCTCTTGATCTAGTTTTACGGCATAATCCTGTATTCCTTGCACCCAGTACTTATGAATAGCAGCACATCCACCTAACCCAATCTCGTGCAGAGCATACTCCATGGCATCCTACATAGCATGGCATGAAAAACTCAGACCTAATATTATCAGGACAACTTCCATGTGAAATCCACAATCTAACTTCTAATGATTAAAGCCCTGATCATTCAAACTTGTAATTTTAACCATCTTTCATTTTTTTTCCAATTCAATTCATTTTCCCAGACATTTTAATCTCTTTACTCCCAGAAGTAATTGATTTGTGACTTCTCCTAACTATTTTGGTACATGATTTGGCAACTAGGTGACAAGAATAAAAAATTATCAGCAAGAGCATATTTTCTTGATATAACACCAAATTTTACCCACTACTTAACAAGAAAATGTATATATAGCAAGAGAATGAAAAATCAGTTCTTGTGTCTGAGTGAAAGGGTTAACCTGTGTGGAATACACAGATCGAATAATTCTATGAAAAGAAATTCTGTTATCATAGTAGAAGCCTTGCATTTTTATTGCTGTGAAAAAAATCAATTTTCAATTGGGTGTTGCAAGTAATCAAGGACTGCTGTGGTTTTGTTCACTTTACTCAAACTGAGACTGACCCAGAAAACTTGCACTAACCTCTCACCCAATCAGACGTAAAACTAGACCCAAATGCAACTTTGTTACTTGCATTTTCTCCTACTTCATGCAGTATTCCTTTTTACTTTGAATTCTCATTGGTTAATGATGATGCTAACTTTTAAATAATCTTATCACACATAATCAATAAAATAATGTATATATTCTTCCAGGTTAATAACTTACATTAAGCCTACAGTGATGGTTAGCCTCAAACTTCTAAAATGACCTCTGAGTTTTAAACCTGATTTTTTAGAAAACAAATAAGACTGTGGCAAACATGAATAAGAGCTTGCTCTTACTGGCTAACGTTTGACTTACTGGAAAACCTGTTCTTCCACCTAATGCATTATTATCAACACTCATTCTCAAAAGACGACAGAGCTTGGTGTTAAAGTCATCTAGGATGTCTGTTAGTATTTCCAGAGAAGATTCACTGGCCACTGAAAAACCAACAAATTTGTATCTTAAATGAAGTGATACCATGTCATTTGCACTGTTAGTTTTTTGACACAATATTACTAAAGTAGTGATTGTGGCAGTGGTGATGAGCTGTTCACATGAGTCATTTAGAGGGGTCTCAACATTAAAAAACCAAATCAGATCTTGGAATGGCAAAGAAACAAACTGATATCAACTAGGGCTTCAAAAGGCTTAAAAAGAATGTTTAATATTCACACTTGGTGATTGGCAAATGCCACTGCTAATGTTTTATAAGTATGTTGCCATGATCAGTGATGAACACCCATGAGGACTGGAAGGTATACAAAACATGGCACAAGACAGGAAGGAAAGGAAAAAGCAGATAATTGGATGATGATATTTATTTATGATAACAAATATAAAAAACTCACTATCAAATCCTGCAAGAGCACATAAGGTAGCTACTGACTTCATCAACAAATGTCTGTTGGAAGCACTGTCTAGCTCTGCACATGTAAGGGCAGAATGAGGTTCATGAGGGCTGCAACAGAAATGATGCATACAGGTATTGTCAGTGAATCATTCTACCTAACAAAAACTGTGACACTTATAACAAATTCAAACAGCTGCTTTTTTTTCCTGCTTATCATTGGATGAATTGACAGAAAACCTCTCAGACTTACTATATTTCTTCAGCTATAAGCCAAGCAATTTTTTCAGTATTAGACACAAAAGTTTGGGAGATTTTTCATAAGAAATGGGGTTCGGCTTATAGCTGAGGGTTTGGGATTCAAAAACAAGTACAATTGCAAACTTAATGTTAATGCCAATTGACCGTAAATTCTGTGACTGCAGTACTCTTTACATGACATGTTTTAAAATTGTCAACAATATATTCCAGACCAGCAATCAGATTCTTTGCTTCCCATGAGCGATTTCTGAGTTGTTTTCTATAGCTTCAGCTTCTGTGATAACTTTTATCTTGAAAGCCATAGTATATGAAGAGCGGCGTGCTTTTGGCACGATGAGAAAAATAACAGCAAGGAGAGAGATACTCAATTGAAACAATTGTCAGGTTACAGTAACTGAGAGTATTGTTGTGTTTCTGCAGTCGCACTGTAGTGATTACATCTTCACTGATTCGCTTTTTTTCTTTTGTGTTTATTTTAGTTCATTAGCTTTTGTGTTCAGTGAGCCATTTCCCAATGATTTCCGTAAAGTTCGCTGACTCAAATGGCTGGTTACAATCAAGAATTCTGCTCTCAGCTTATGGCTGATGGTTTTGCCTTTTTTTTTTTGGACAACACAAGTCTGTTGGAAGGTCTTGAACTATTAGGGTCTCTGCTTATAGCTGGGATCGGCATATAGGTGAAGAAATACAGTTACTGTCATTCTAATATCTGACCAATCACAGCATCATGCTGAGATAATTTGTTCATCAATGACAAAATGGATTTAACAATAATAACATGGCATAGAAATTTCAGCACATTCTTCTTGCATATGGTATGGGAAAATAAAAGATATTGAGAAAACAAAATCATGGCTATCAATATCAAAATGAAAAGCAAAGGAAATCTAGATTCAAAGTAAAATTGACTATTGCTACCAATATACTGTGGCTTGTCCAAAACAAACGATATTAAAATACTTTGTTTTTAATACACCTCTAAAAATATTGGGTGACTCTAGTTACACTGAACAAGTTGCATGGTAGAATTTAAAGGATGTTTCATCAATAAAAACTCTTGTTTGCAGTCATTTCACAGAAGATCTTATATTGCATTAGTTTTGTAGAGGTATAACTATCCATCAGCCTATATACATATCATTATTAATAATAAAAAAATTCATATTCAATGAACTCTTATTCTTCTTACTTTACAGTTTCTTGAGCTCGTGAGAGAATAGTGGTTTGCATAGGTGGTGTGACAATTCCATGACTGGAGCAGAATCGCTTGGATCTTGGTGGATGAGCAGGAAGAGAAGGAGCTTCAGCACCATCTGATTTCTGATAAAATAACCCAAGGAAGACAGAAATCATTCATTTTTATTAGCCAAATAAAATTGATGCAAAATGAGAAACATGATATAATTAACAAATAGAGAAGCCTTGATTGTGCTCTGTTCTGTTGTAAAGCACACAGGAAGTGGCTAGAGTGCAAAAGAAGTGTAGGAGAAACACAAGACATAGTCAAGTGTTTCTCTGCACTTCTTGAGTTCTCTAACTGCTTCCTAAGTGCTTTACAACAGAACAGACCACAATCAAGGCTTCTCTACTTGTTTTGTAATAGAGAATCCATCAAATTCCCCATGCATTACTTTCAATTTTCAAAACAAACTTTATTTTCAATACAAACAGCAGTGTTGTCAGAACAAACTCTTAGTTGTTCACTCAAAGGGTGGCCAATGTAATTTCTGAGGCTTTCTTCACTGTGATGACCAGAGAGTCGCTCTCACACTGTCATAATTAGTATGAATTTAATAGTTTAACATTTTTCATCATTCCTGTTTTGTTTTTGAACACAAAACTATGAGTGTAACTCTCTTCTTGTGTCCTAACCCAAGAATAAAAGCGCACCCCTTTTCAATTTTTCAAAAACTCTTCCATCTTAGTCTGGCATGGTAAGGGGTTCATGTATGAGTCCATGAAAGTTCCTGACGAGTGTCAAGGTTTTCAGCTCTCTCCACCCAATCATAACTTGTTTTTCTGTGCTACAAGCAGTTTACATGTTTTAACTATAGGTTCCAACTGGCTCTTTGTACATTTTCCCTACCTCTGATTGACTGTTATGATTACTTTAGTTTTAATTTTACAACACTCGATCGAATCTCCCCTCTTGGAGGGAGGATGTATCCCGATTACAATTTTGTTTCAATAACTAAACCAAGTGAGCATTTATTGAGCATTCAGTGATTTTTTTGAAAAAAAAGCAAAGCACACAATAATAATAAGTCTATCATTGTACCGTTCCCTCTCCATGTTGATGTTGGGCTGCCATTAACATCAGGCGCATACGTCGTTTGTGATGCTGTAGTTCAATACAGTGTAGTGTTAGGTTCTGTGAGTGTTTATCAAGTGGCGGTTTGACAGACGCCATAAACTTCATTGGCAATCTATAATAAAATAAAACAGATCAGTCATAAAAGCAAATAGATATACACTTTTCTTTAAATTCTATCTCATTGTTAAAATCGTCTGATTTAAATTGACGATAAACTATCGACCAAGCTTAGCAACTGAAGTCTGTTAACCAAGTCCACCTTCTCTCACTTACTCGTCTTTTGGTGGGAAGTGTTCCGAAGATGGCTGATGCAGTCTTGGTATTTCGTAATCTGCAGCTTTAGGCTCCGTCATTTCAACGTGTAGGCCGGCTGTTTTTGGCAAAGGAGGATCGAGTT